TTGGGTTTTCTGGTGAAAAGCAATTTCAAGGGAAAGGACCGGGTCCCGGGCCCCCCCGGGGTTTCCCTTTTGGTTGGAAAGGTGGGGGACCCCCCCCCCGGGGGGAAGGGGATTTTCGCCCTTTTTGACCCCGACCGGTTCCCGGGGGGGGCCGGGGGGCCGGGGGGGGAAGACAACGGGCCCAGGTTTGGGGATGCAAGGGGCCTGGCCCCCAAAAAGGGGGGGGGGGGGGGGAAAAAATTTTTTGGGAATTGCCCCCGGGTACAAATGTTGGGCCCAAATTTGTTGGGTTCGGAAGGGGGCAAAGGGAAAAAAAAATTTTTTGTCAAGTTTTTTTTTCCCCCTTTCCCTTCCCGCAGGGGAAAATTAACGGGGGGGTTTTGGAAAGATCCCCTGGGCAGGAATTCCTTGTAGGGGGGTTTTTTCCCGGGGGGGGGGATTTCCCGCCAAGGGGGTCAAAAGGACAAATTTTGATGGGGGGGCAACCCGGATGCCCCCCCCCCCCCCCGCTCCCGCCCCATCTCGCCCCCATGCCAACGCTGGTCTCTCGTTATCCGTCGTCTTCCCGTCCCCTAATGCCCTATTCACCCCACGTACGAATGTCGCCTCGCCTTTTTGCGCTTGTCCACTCGCCCAGGAGCTCGATGATGATAGGAAGCGCACGATGGAGCGCAATATCGAGGTTCTTCGCAGGGCATCTGCTCCCGCAAGAGCAGCGCTTAACGCCAAGAAAGCGATCAGCATCCTCTCGGCGACAGCGCCAGCATCGCTCGAAAACACAGCAGCAGCAGTAGTACCGTATCAACCCGCGATCGAGGCCTGAACGTTTCCTAGAAATATAAATAAAGCAACTAGTAGCGTTTTAGAGCTTTGGTGTGAGAGATGCCCCAAACACTTGAACACCTGCTTGAGGGGAGAGAGAGGTTGAGGGCAGAGGGTCTATTTACATGTTTGTTCAGTTCTCCTCGGACCACTCATATGGTGAGACAGACAGAACGAGCCGATCTGGGATATTTGGCGGGCACGCAGTATTCATGTTGTCGGTTTTCCCCGTGAGGGCCAACTCGACGCTTTTGTGTTTGCAACAGACGGACCAGTCGGTTGAGAGGTCTCATTCTTCGCAGTTAGTTTCGTTGGAGGTGGTGGTGAGTTGCTGCTGTCGTGACATTAGAAACCGTTCCGGCGGTTTTTGATCACAACACCCGTAGTGCCATTGATGCATGGATATGCTATGTACGAATTTACATGGAATTTCGGGCATCACTCAGATGGTGTAGTAACTCGTTCTCCATGTCGAAGCAGCTGTATCAAGTACACGAAGGTTTATTTTTCCTCTTTACAGTCCTCCTCCCCCTCGCCCTCCTCCTCGTGGATATTTTCTCCCGATCCAACATAACAACGCCATCATTCATTCCCGCTCCTATTGTGCTTTCCGCATTAGCTACGTAGCATAGGACAATGGCAAGGAGACAACTAAGCATGTTTGAAAAGCACAGCAGTAAATGTAGGGCCCGTCTACTTCATCGAGTCCGAGGACTGACCCTGATTGGAAGGACCGGTCCCAGGAACGCTCGCGGTAGTTTGGATTCGTCACGTGTGTCGCGACGAATGAAAAGTATTTGTGCGTTCAGTTACTAACAGGATCTCTCCAGGGTTGTGCAAATTAGCTAGTGCGCGTTCAAGAGCGCGATAGACACAGCAGAGACAGCAAAAGGGGTAGATGCCCGCGGGGGTTCAAGGAGAAAACGCCTCCTTTCTTATTCGTAGCAGACGTTTAGACGAACAAAAAATAAAAAATAATTAAGGAATAATAAATAATAAAATAAAAACACACACAGAAAGACTGCCCATTCGAGATATACCCACAGTCGACGTGCTCGGATCCGCAGCGAAAATACGTCCACAGCGTGCCAACAAGCCAGGCACTTGGAAGATCTCTCCGGGAGGGTTAGAGACAAAGCCCTGTCGCAAGATCAAGCAGAGCCGCGCGTGTAGCCTTGTGCCACCAACCAACACCTGCATCCACAACCCGGCGCACGGAGCGGATTGGTCGCACGGCGTGAAAGAACGGCGACGGCAGCAACCATCGTTCACCCAAACATGCTCCACCCTGCCGCTGGGCCTCACGGGCATGGCGCGGCGGCGGGCGGATACAACGGCTTGCTGTTCGAGTGGCTGATCTCGCTGCGCTTCCAGCCGGAGGACGCTCGAGGATACACCACCGCGCTTGTGCGCCTCGGCTTCGACGACCTGCAGTCCCTCCGTGAGGCAAGAAAGGAAAAGTTGTTGCGTGATTGCAATACTACTGCTGTAATACGCCCACGTTTGCCGCCGTTTGTGTGCTGTAGCATCGGTTTGCCGTACTTGTATCCGTTTTGTAAACATTGGTGAGGTAGGATCGGGAGGGGCAGAGGATCCTGCCTGGGCCAGCAGGTGGTGCAGGGGGGAGGTGGCATGATCTCCGCCGGCTGCCAAGCTTCGTGTTCGAAGTCAGCTAGCGCGGAAGATTTTCTGGCGGCACGACGTAGACTGCATTGTCGCAGCTGTATGCATTTAGGCCTCAGCACTCAGCAGGATACGCTGTTGTACATCACCGATCTTCGAAATGTTAGGAAAAATAAGAACACACACAGAAATGTTGTACGCAGATTAACCCTTGTAGCCGCAAGTATTGAATAGACTTGACCTTAGAATGGAATTCTACAGAGTGTAATAGTTTTCTTACAGCAGCAGAGAGGTAAAACGTTCAAGTTTGCGAAATCACGATCCACAGCCAGCCGTATGTATGCCGAAAGTAAGTGGAATTGTCCACAGCATGGGGCCACCTCAGTTGCATCCGGCCGCGCTGCAGGCTACACACACACTACCCTGTAGGCCAGACGCGCCAAAGATTGTAGAAGGATTGGCGATGTGAGTGTGCTGAAGGGAAAAGAAATGTGAAGTGAAGATTGTCTACAGCAGTACTGCTGTGCCCACCGTATTCCTGTAGCACACCCTACAAGTACGAACAAGACAAAATCCGACTACCCGTCCGTTCTGTTGGACGTCGGAGATTTTTGGCGAGCGAGCCGGTTCCCAATGTCCACGGGTCAGCATCATCTGTGGTAATCAGGTTGTAGACTACGAGTAGCAAGGAATGCTGTTGCGTGGTGTGGCGACCTTCCTCGTTGTCATGTCCCTCTAGTCAATTCGCTCGTTGTGTTGTTCTACTACATACAAATTACATATTGCTGTAATGAAAACCAAGTAAGTACGTACGCGCTTCCCCGAAACACCCCGTGTTTGTTTGTGCACATTAGCGGCAGAAAAAAATAAAAAATAAAAAATAAAATGTCTCAGACTGTTTTCTATGATAGAGATGGATTCGTTGTGTCATATTAAGAAAAAAAATAAAATAAACAACAGCTCAACCCATCGCCTCGAGGCAAAGCTGTTCGAATGTCCTTCGCTTCGGATCTGGACATTCCGGCGGGAACACGTTGAAATGATTGTAATGATGGTTGGATATTTGCCACGTGTTTCGGCACCAGCCGGGTGGCTTCTACCGGAAGTTGTTGCTGTCTCCAATGAACAAAAAACCGTTCCGATCTCCCTACCCGGTACCTTCTACCTAGAGATCGCTGAAAAAAAGTCATGCGAAATAATGATACCTGGGAGTGCGCAACGTAAGAACGTAAGATATGCATGGTACGTCCACAGTCAATATTTGGGCACGTCCTTTGCTGACGAGTGGTATTAGCAAGAGTACCGAGAGACAGTAGGCGACCCAACACCAGACGCGCGAACCAGTACGAGAGAGAACACGTTCCTTCCTTTGTTTTCGTGATGCTTTTCCGCAGGACGCAACTCAACATGATCTTCACAGGGCAGGGATGAAGCCGGGGCACGTCAAGCGTGCCTTGAAAGCGCTCGATGCACATCCACACCACCACCAGCCAAGGCACGTCCAGCAACCGCGATGCGGAAGATCTTCCTCTCCTAGCCCTTCATGCGCGCAGCAGCAGCAACAACCGCTACAGCACGCGACAGCAACTACGGATTTCAACATCGCTTCCTCCGTCGACAACACCAAATTTAGCAGCAGCGGTAGCCGGGACAGCAACAGCAGCAGCAGCAGCAGCAGCAACAGCAACAGCAACAGCCACTCCAGCACGACCGTAAACAGCACAGTCTCCACCAACACCACCACTGTCACCACCACCAAGAACAGCAACGCAGCAGCTGCCGCAGCGGCGGCGGGGGGGTGGGTGGTCAGAAACTCTGACGGCAGCATCATACTCCCCCCGGGCGTAAGCTGCGTCGTTTGCGAAGATGGCAACGGGCAGCGGCTACGATACGCCGTCGCCCCACCCCCACCCGATCACGGCCCAGAAGCGATCACAGGGACCGCTAAATCGGCAGGGGTAGCGGCGGCGGCGGCGGCGGGGGGGGTACCTATTCGTCGCAGCACAAGCACCACGGTGGCGGGGGCGGGGGAGGCGGTGATCCGGCGCAGTACCAGCAGCGGTGCCCCCAGAGGAAGAGGGGGGAGAGGACCGGTGGAAGGCACGAAGTCACTTACCCCTCCCGGTGCTGCTGATGGTCCTGCTCTTCCGCATCAAGCGCCGTTTCACTCCGACAAGGACAAGGTGAGCCCAAAGGTGATGTGATGTGATGTGTGTTCCCACCGATCGCTGTGAATAAAGCAGCACGCGTGTCTTTCAATTCAGCGTGAGTGTGTTTGGTGAGCTAGATTCTCTGTACTCGACTTATTCCCTAATGAAGACTTGACAGGGGACATGGTGCTCTTCACAACTCTTGGCACAACTTCTTGACGCAATCACCCCCGCCCACATCCTATCACCCGCCCCCCCTCCATCACGACGCACACGACAACCACCGGTCAATCCCGCAGACGGCGGTGGCATCAGCTGAGCGCACCAACACCGTGGAAGATCGAGGGGAGCACTCCGCGTCCACACACGCCCCCAAGCACGCCCCGGCCACCGCCGTGCCGAGCTACGGCTGGAGGGCAGCGGCGGCGGCGGAGGCGGCGTCCCGGTTGGACGGGGCGGCGCACAGCGACGGAGACAAGGCGTCGACATCACGTCGGCTGCGCGGTTGGCACCGAGGCGGCGGTGACAGCGGCGGCGGCGGCGGAGGCGGCGGCAGTAGTGGCTACGGCAGCCGCGGTGGCAGGGCCACCACCTTCTTCTCCGCGAAGGGAGAGCACCAGTCGATGCCGGTCGTGGAAACGCTGCAAAACAAGTCGTCTGCCCGCGCCAGGCTGCTATGCCGCGGCATCGGAGCGACCCGCGGTGGGGGTAGCAGCAGCAGTAGCGGCGGCGGCGGCGGCGGCGGTAGAGCGGGTTTCGAAGCGGGTTCTTCGAGCAGCTCGCCCAGCACGGACTCGGGTCTCATCACCGAAGACTATAGGCTCATGGGTAGCACGCAGTCTTCGACGGGGGACACGGCGCCCCTGCTGCCCGTTTGGGACAGCAACTCCCCTACCGCAAGCACCGCGGTCGGCGACGCCAATGCGGCGGCCGATGGCTTGCCGTTAGGGTACCGGGAACGCGACCTCCGTCACCAGCAACACCAGCTCGACACCCTCCCCGCCATGCGCAGGAGGCTGCCTTGCGCCGACGGTCGAGTAGGGGCGACGGGTCGGGGGCGACGCGAGCTCCCGGGGTACAAGCACCGCCACTCCCAACAGCAACTCCAGCGGCAGCAGCAGCAGCAGCAGCAGCAGCAGCAGCAGCAGCAGCAGCAGGCTCCTCAGTACATGGCCGTGTTGACGAGCCCCCCTCGCAACCAACGTGGCGGCGGCGGCGGCGGCGGCGTCACCGCGGGAAGGAGCAAGAACAACCCAAAGCCCGTGCGGAGAGCGTTCTGCAGCGAGGCCGTCGCCCCGGCAGCAGCGGCAGCCGCGTCCAGTCGCTCCCCTCCCGACCGCAGCGGCTCCCGCACGTCCGTCCCGCTGCTTTGCAGGAGGTCGAGAGGTTACGCCGCCACCGCCGATGAGGAAAAGAACCTGCACTCATTGTCGTCGGTCAGCAGCGGCGCTATCGTTGCCGCCGCCACCGGTGCGAACGTCGTGGGTATCGCCGGACCCGCCAGGTCTGGACCCCCGGGAAGGATGGAGTTGATATCGCCGGTTGAGGGCGGCGGCGGGGTCATCGATCTAGGCGCCGTCGGCGACGTTCTCGGTCGCGGGGGGCACGTCAAGACCATCAGGCGCATCCGTAGCAGCGGGCTAGCCATGAGCACCAATAACAGCAGCAGCAGCAAGCCCGGCAGCCCGCTCCTCACGAGGATCCCTGGCGACAGCGGCGGCTGTGGCGGCGGAAGCGACGAAGATGACGGAGCAGCAAACAACGGACCCCGCTTCGCCTTGCCCTCGACGCTGCTGGTGCTGCCGGCCAAGGTCGCGATATCAGAAGCGGCACCGGAGGGGCGGACGACCGTAAAAGAGTTGGACGGCATCGTGGACGTGCCGGAGGAGATTGTCGACGCAAGCTGCAAATCTTGGGGTACCAACGGCGGCGGCGGCGGCGGCGGAGGTAGACCGTTGATGACCCTGGATGAGGACAGCGTGACTACCGCTTCTGTCGAGCACCGTAAGGGAGGACCCCTGGGATGCCTCGGCCAAGTGCACGGCCGGAATCGGGAGGGCTGGGGCGTGTCGCGCGTTATTTCCGAGGAGATTTTGAAGAGCGGCGGTGGCGGCAGCGGCGGCGGCGGCAGCGGCGGCGGCGGCGGCGGCGGCGGTGGCGCCGCCAGGAACGATGGCCACGATGAAGACGACGAAGACGACGACGACGATGACGGTGATCCCGATGGCGACGGCGGCGGAGACGACGTGAGCTTTGACTACCTCAGCCAGCTGTCCCTAGACCTCGACAACCTGAAGGAGCAAGGCTTCACGTGTAGCATGGCGCGGTCGTACGACCTGAGCGAAGACGGCGGCACGCTAAGGACGCACGGCTTTGTGCTCCAGCCAGATGGGATCAAGTCTACCCCGACGCCGAACTATGCCGGTAAGTGCTCGGTGTTTCTGTCTCGTGTGCGGCTGGCTTACACAGAAATTCTTCCGCCGGCATCAACCTGAGACCGGGTATGGGGGGAGCAAAGGGTGCTCTTCTATGAAATGGTGGGGGGAGGGTTGTTTTGCCGGCGGCGTTCGTTTGGTCGTTCTCGACAGGCACTTGATTTTCAATATTGCAGCAATTGATCAAGGCCTATCTACCATCCAAGAAGCGCTCCTCCCAATTCCAGCTAGTTATTGCATGTGCGGCTTGCGTGGTCGACTTTCGTTTGGTTTCGTGATAACCGCACTCATTACACGTTCGCCGCCCGTCGTCGGCCCCTCCCTCGGCCCCCGCCCGGCCGCTGGTCCCTCTTCCCTGTCGCTCGTACCTTCACCTCATTCTCAACACGGCAACTTCCCGTCACCACAACGGAACTGAACATTCCGTTCGCACTCACAGGTTTCGACACCAGCAGCAGGAACTCGATTTCCAGGGGGTGCAACGAAGAGAGGCTTCGCTGCTTACGGCCGGCCTCGACACACACGGCGTCGGGGTCCATCGCCCGCACCCCGCGCAGCTACGACAGCGGCTTCGGAGCGAGCTGCAGCGGCGCCAACGCTCCCCTGCCGCCGCCGCCGCCGCCGCCGCTGACGGGCACCCCCCGACGGCCCCGCGAGAAGACCATCCTTCTGGACGAGATTGGGAGGGGCGGGGGCGGGACGGTGCACAAGGCCATCCACGTGCCGTCGATGCGCCTGGTTGCGGTTAAGATGGTGGAGGTGCACGACGACGAGAAGCGGCACCAGATTCTACGGGAGCTCAAGACGCTGCTGTCGATGAAGCCGGTGAGGCTTAAACACAATAACAGCAGTGGCGAGAAACGCGGAGAACCAACACGCCATTGAGAGCGAGCGAGGGAGAGAGAAGAGCAGCGTAACAACTTCTTTCTATGTCGGGGGAGTGAGTGTTGAAGACTGGGCAGCTTCTCATGTGTGTGTGAAAAGCGTCAGGAATCCCCAACCCATCAACGCACCCACTCGTTTTTTGTCGATTTCCCAGGTCCCTTTACCGTCGCCGTGCGTGGCGGCCGGCGACTCCACCTCGGCGGTCACCAGCGGTCTCGGGCATCATCCCGGGCTGGGCGATTGGTGTGGTGGTGGCGGGGCTGACAGCGGCACCGGCAGCAGCTGCGGCAGCAGCTCGCAAGACGCGGACAGCCCTATCGGCGGTTGCGGCCCGGCAGCGAAGGAAGGAGGACCGCCGCCGCCGCGGGCAGAGTGCTTCGGCGAAGGCGACCATTCGAGTGGCTCCGAGGAGCAGGATCGAACCCGCACGACCGCCTCCGTTTCGTCCCAGGGGGGCACCCTGTCCTCGCGCGACGGCACCCCCCCCTTTCCGTCGCAGCAGCACCAGCGCCCGCTACCGCCGCAGGCGCAGCAGCAGCCGCCGCCGCGTCGCCGCCGCCGGCGAGCGGGGGATCACGACGGCAGCAGCAGCAACAACCCGTCCAAGAGCAAGGATCTCACCCTCCCGGTTATCACGTTCCACGATGCCTACATGGACCGGGAGAGGGGGCGGGTGTGCATGGTGATGGAGTACATGAACGGGGGCACGCTCCAGCAGTTCGTGTCCGGGGGGCAGGCGCTGTCGGAGCCCGCCCTCGCCGGGGTGGCGCGCTCGGTGCTGCGAGGGTTGGCGGAGATGCACGCCCAGCGCAAGATCCACCGCGACATCAAGCCATCCAACATCCTGCTGGACAGCCAGGGGCGGGTGAAGATCTCGGACTTCGGCGTAGTGCGCGAGCTCAACCAGACGGGGTCGTTCGGGCAGACCTTCACCGGGACCGCGACGTACATGAGCCCGGAGCGGATCAAGGACAGCGGGCACGGCTGCCCGAGCGACATTTGGAGCCTCGGGATGGTGAGAGAAGTTGTACCCTAGGGTCGCGTGTTTGGTTCGGTCTCTCTCTGGCGATGGGTAGGACGGTTGCCGTCTTCTGGCCTCCTTTGTTTTTCCATCTCTCTCACGTCCGTGTGCCGTATTTTCGCAACTTCGCGTTGATGCGCGCCCTTGGTAGATCGGGTGATGCTATCTACCGTTGTTCTCTTACCGCGGAACAGAGAGCAAGAACCCCCCTCCCTCCCCCCGTCCCTGTCTTTGTGTCCACCGCTCGGACGCGCGTGCAACAACAACAACAACAACAAAAATCAAGGTGATCGCGGCTCTAGCCCTCGGCCACTTCCCTCTGTCGACCGGCGCCGCCAGCACCGACCGCATGTTCGACCTCATCCAGGCGATCACGGAGGACCCCATCCCGGCCCTGTCCCCCCAGGCCTTCTCCCCGGAGCTGTGCGACTTCGTCGACCTCATGCTCAGGCGGGACCCTGTGGAGAGGCCCACGGCACCGGAGCTGCTCAAGCACCCTTTCTTGGTCGAGAACCACGACCAGGGGTGCCACATCCAGAGCCTCGTGGACATGGTCAAGGTGGCCCCCGCGACCCTGCCCGAGGTGGGTTGTTGGGCGCGCGCGCGAGAGAGAGAGAGAGAGAGAGAGAGAGAGAGAGAGAGAGAGAGAGAGAGAGAGAGAGAGCCTGTCCTTGCGTTCGATCGTGTTTTAGTCGCGCGTCTTGTCCTTTCCTGGCGTGCGTTTCGCGTGTGCGTGCGTGTTTCTTTGTGGCTTGGCACCGATCACGCTGGAACCGGCTGGCCGACCAAATCAAGAGCACATCGGTCTCGTAGCGAGACGGGCAAAACAGCAGTAGTGGGCGTCTCCGATAGCGGGAGGGGGGGGGCGCGGAGGAAACTATTGTGTGTGTGTGTGCAGCTTTAGCATGGGCCGTGCTAACCGGCTGACCAATACTAAGACGGTGGTCTCATTGCAAGGGGAGAAATACACGACCGTGTTGTACTTTGGCAGCTGTCCAACCCGAATACCCGAGTCTATCCGGACGAAAACGACAACGTATATTGTATATACAGACCTACGAGTAGCCGTGCCCCCATGAAGGTTGTCGGGGGCGTCGATCATTTCGTGTGTTTGTGTGGGGGTTGGTGCCCGTGTTGTGCAGTGTGAGGTTTGCTCGCCGGCCGTTCTAACACGGCTGATATCTCGGTGCCCCCACCTGCTTTGATATTTTTTTCTCCGTCAACGACAACAACAGCTGTAACAACAGACGCCAGCAACAAGTGCTTGCGCCAAACCAACGCAGCAGACAAACTGAGTAAATATAACCAAGCACACGCTCGATCGATGCGCGATGCGACGACTCGAAAAATACAGGTCCAAAGCCTCCTGAAAAAGGTCGTCGACTACCACCTTGCCGAGGCGGTGGAAGAGAAGAGCTACAACGACAGAGAAACCTCTGCTTCCTTCTTCGGGAAGGACACGCTGTCGTGGGGAGGCTGTAGCCCCCACCAAGCCCCCTTGCCCCCGTCCCTTCGCAAGGCGGACGTCGAGGTGCTGGCGGGTCAGCTGCAGGTCACCAGGACGGAGCTAGGTGAATCAAAATTTCGAGAGGGGAGGGGAGGGGGGGTGCCATGGGAGATGTAGGCGGGGGGGGGGGACAAGAGGTGTGCATGGGACGATTTTTCTGTTTTGAATTTGGTTGAGGTTGAGCCTTTCAACTTGTTGTTGTAGATGCAGATCTTGGTTGGTGATGAAATACAGCGCACCACAGAGAGGCACCGCAGACTGGAATCCTCGCCTTCATTGGCGTCTTCCCCTCCCTTGCCGCCCACCGCTGCTCTCTGGCGCGCGTCTCTCAGTGAAAGAATACGAAAAGATCCGGAAACGGGTGGAGCGGGAGCTATTGGGCGACAACCCTCCCTCGTCCTTCTGGCGTAGAAGCGGCGGCGGCAGCAGCGGCGGTGCCATCGCTCCCGCCACCCCGGGCTTCTACCCGCATGGTCGCGGCAGCAGCGGCGGCGGTGGGGAGCACACACGCCGGCCTACCTACTTCATGTCCTCCCCGCAATGCCCTGACCTCACGTGCTCCTCGCGGCGCGGCGGAAGCGGCGGCGGCGGTGGGG